CGTTGAGGGTGCAGGCCCTGTGGGGGGTATTCAGAACTGTGGGGGGGGGCACTGAGGGTGCAGGCCCTGTGGGGGGTATTCAGAACTGTGGGGGGGGGCACTGAGGGTGTAGGCCCTGGGGGGGATATTCAGAGCCATGGGGCTAGGAGGAATGGGGTGAAAGGAAGGGACGCTCAGGGTGACTGTCAGGAGAAAGCTGCAGGGAGTGAAGTGGGTTGAGGTGGGGTGCTGTGTCCTGGGGTGGGTGGGACCCCCCAGACTCCCCCTCCCCCAGACTCCCGGGGGCAGTCAGCACTGACTGGACAGAGCCCTGAAGAGCCGCCCAGTGGCCAGGGCCTTAGGGGGTGGTGTCCGGAGTGACGGCGGCTCCGAGGAACTGCGCCAGCCCTGAGCCCCCCACACCCCCAGAACTGACACATGTACCCCCCACACGAACACCCACACATACACATGTGCCCCCACATACACACGTCCCCCCCACAAACACACGTATCTTCCACACAAACACCCCCACCCCTACAAACACGTACCCTCCACACAGACACCCCTACAAATACATGTACTCCCCCACAAACATCCCCCACTAACACAGGTACCCCCCACAAACACACTTACCCCCAGATACACACATACCCCCCAACAGACATAGACTCATAGAATATCAGGGTTGGAAGGAACCTCAGGAGGTATCTAGTCCAACCTCCTGCTCAAAGCAGGACCAACCCCCAACTAAATCATCCCAGCCAGGGCTTTGTCAAGCCTGACCTTAAAAACCTCTAAGGAAGGAGATTCTACCACCTCCCTAGGTAACCCATTCCAGTGCTTCACCACCCTCCTAGTGAAAAAGTTTTTTCTAAATCCAACCTAAAACTCCCCAACTGCAATTTGAGACCATTACTCCTTGTTCTGTCATCTGCCACCACTGAGAACAGTCCAGATCCATCCTCTTTGGAACCCCCTTCAGGTAGTTGAAAGCAGCTATCAAATCCTCCCTCATTCTTCTCTTCTGCAGACTAAACAATCCCAGTTCCCTCAGCCTCTCCTCATAAGTCATGTGCTCCTAGCCCCCTAATCATTTTCATTGCCCTCCGCTGGACTCTCTCCAATTTGTCCACATCTTTTCTGTATTGGGGGGTGTGACGTTACACTCCATATGATTTTATGAAAATATGCTTATGAGTGGGAATATAATGTAACAGGAATATGCTTCATGCAAAAGGTCTCTTGTAAGGTATCATTACAAAGCTTATAATCTACTGAGTGTGATCATCCTATTTGTATGAATGTATCATTCTTGTATCTGAAACTAGAAATATGAAATATAACTCTGAGTCCTATTGTAATTATGCAAAGTGTGGGCCATTAATGGTGGTTTGGAATCTTGATGGCTCCCATCAACTAGGACAATTGGTTGTAAATGGCTCTGTTTACTTGCAAGCCTTCCTGTGAGTCAGGCCAGGAAGGATGGAGGCTGGGGTCCCACAGGACATGTGACCATGTCACCTGGTACTGGAATCCATCTTAAACCTGGTGTTTTTCCAGTTAGAAGGAGGGATGGGGACCCGGAAAGAAAAAAGATTCCTGCCTTGTGCCAAAGCTATATAAGGGGGTGGAACAGAACAAGGGAGGTTCCAGTCATGAGAAATCCCCTAGTTACCACCTAAGCTGGAACAAGGACTGTATCAGGGGAAAGAATTGGGCCCAGACTAGGAAGGAGTCTAGTCCGTGAAAGAAGCTTATTAGAATATCTCTGAGGGTGAGATTTTATCTGTATTCAGCTTCTTAATGGATTAGGCTTAGACTTGCATGTTTTTGTTTTATTTTGCTTCGTAACTTATTTTGTTCTGTGTGTTATTACTTGGAACCACTTAAATCCTACTTTTTATACTTAATTAAATCACTTTTTGCTTATTAATTAACCCAGAGTAAGTGATTAATACCTAGGGGAGCAAACAGCTGTGCATATCTCTCTATCGGTGTTATAGAGGGGGACAATTTATGAGTTTACCCTGTATAAAGTTTATACAGAGTAAAATGATTTGGGGCTTAGAGCCCATTGGGAGCTGGGTCTGGTTGCTGGAGACAGAAGCATTTCTTAAGCTGTTTTCAGTTAAGTCTGTAGCTTTGGGGCATGTGGTTCAGACCCTGGGTCTGTGCTGGAGCAGACTAGCGTGTCTGGCTCGACAAGGCAGGGTTCTGGAGGCCCAAACTGGCAGAGAAAACGGGCTCAGAGGTAGTCTCGGCACATTAGGTGACAGTCCCAAGGGGGTTTCAGTGATCGAACCCGCCACAGGGCACCCAAAACTGGACGCGATACTCCAGGTGTGGCCTCACCAGTGCCCAATAGAGGGGAATAATCACTTCCCTCGATCTGCTGGCAATGCTCCTACTAATGCAACTCAGTATGATGTTAGCCTTCTTGGCAACAAGGGCACACTTCTGACTCATATCCAGCTTCTCGTCCACTGTAATCCCCAGGTCCTTTTCCACAGAACTGCCGCTTAGTCAGTCAGTCCCCAGCCTGTAGCGGTGCATGAGATACTTCCTTCCTATGTGCAGGACTCTGCACTTGTCCTTGTTGACCCTCATCAGATTTACCCCCCACAAG